TGAATATCCTCAGAAAAATATACACAGGCAGGTATTTAATGAAGTTTTTAACTTCCTTTACATGGAAGTAATGCCAAATTATTATTTCATGTGGGTTCAATTGGGGCTGACAATAAGTCTATTTCAATTCTAAAACTATAAAGAAAAGCTGAGTATTGCAAAACAGCAAACCAAGCATTTAAAGATGGAAAATATCAGCACAAAATTCTGAAAAATGAAACTTCCAAGGTTTCAACACCTCTGTGATTTAAAAAAACCTAGTAGTACAACAAAATTAACTCATACTCAGCACAAGGTGAATATATCCTCTATATATATGCAGGGGTACTGTGACATCATGTAATACATACAGAGAATCTAGGATAGACTTTGTGTGACTGGCTGTATTTCTCCTATATTGGTTAGCACAAAACCAGGACTCACTACTCGGGCATTAGACTTCCCTTGTGATAGGTGGCTTACTAAATGAAGGAAACTCAAGGACACTTTCACTAAACTTATATACTTAGTAAAATATTGAAGCAGTGCTCTTGAATTCACAGATTCATTTTATTTGTTTGATGATACACTACTCATTGTAAGCATAACTGTAAGAATTGCGTTTTCAGAGACTCTGATGGGTACTGAGGCTCAGACTGCAGGAGGCTGTTACATCCTAGAGACCTCCAAGACCTTAGCAAGCACAACAGATGCCCAACTCTCTAAATTTCAGCTCTTGCAGATGCAAATGACTTGAGACCCAAGACGATTAACCATGTAATGTACTCTTATAAATAGAAGGTGCTAAAACTGTACGGCCTGATGCAACTGCTTAATTTACAAATCAGTATTTTGTCAAGTTGTGAAAAATAAATGAGTAAAATTATGAAACCAGCATTTACTTCTCTCTGTTTGCATCCCAAAATCCCTTGTATATTTACACAAATTTTATCTGATCTTAGTGAAAGCAAGTGATTATAGTCATTCAGGCATGCAATGAGTAACTAGTTTTTTGATCAGCTGGGGTTTACTTACAATTTATAACTTCTGCTAGCTTCATTTTATACTTCGATACTCTAAATTTAATCTCATTAACAGAACAAAATTTATGTTTAATTATTTGGCCCACACACTATGAGCCTTGAAATATGGTTCAGCATTGGACTAGAAGATCTTTAAAGGTCCCTTCCAACCCAATACATTCTATGATTCTATGATTTGTGAGAGATTATTTTATTATTTTAAACACTAAGATCACAATTATTTCTCACTATTGTGTTTCCTCTGTTTTCCTCCAGCATTTAAATAAGCCACATATTTGAATAAATCACAATTTCAAAGAGTTTAATGGGATGAACTACTCTTTCATGGTGTTGCACAGAAACATGATCATATCCTTTTGACAATACAGTACTGGTTTACAGTAGAAGGCTAAGTATTTCATGGGCATTTGCTCTTTTGGATGTCAAAAGAGCAAGAAACAAAAGACAACACATGGTCATTTACATCTCAAAGGAAGAATTTAATTGAATCCCTGTGTGGCTGATAGGTCAAAACCGTGAATCCCTAACCCACACAACAAGTACAGTCTAACTAATAGTGTAGGAATAACATATGCATACATACTACAGTTCTTCTTCCAGATTACTCTCTTTGAGGGTAACATAATTATAGTCCAGCTCTGCCCAGTGTTCTTGACTTGCAATAAAATGTCTCATTATGTTAAGTAGAAAATAATGTTAGAAATGGAGGGGACATGAGTAATCGATTTAACAAATCCACTGCCAGATCAACAAATTTTTACTTGTATTACCATGCTTACAGTTCCAGTGATGCTATTTAAATCCTGTTCAGAACTGTACATCAAAAACAGAACTGCATGAAAATTCTGAATTTGATACTCTGTATTTTAGATACAATTGGTTTTGGATTCTGATTTGTATGTTGCCTCTTACTTAAGTCTAAAAATAGTGAAACTAAATCTCTTTATTTAAACACTCAATGACTTTTAGATTCCCACTCAAAATGGAAATTTCTGACTATTTCTTTTTGCTTATCATTTATCAAGGTGGAAACCAAAATAATAGAATATAAGCAATTATGACAGACTAGAAAAAGGAAAAAAAATTAAAAGGCTGCTTTTGGTTTTGCCCTATTATTCTACATTTGCAGCTTTCACTCTTCCTAAACCTAAAGAAATACTTGGGTTCATGAGAGGACAAATACAGTTATTTTACAGATCTCCAGGAAAAAAAAGAAAAAACAACCAACAAAAACCCCCAAAACAAACAAACCTGAGTCTATTTATATTTCAATTATATTTGATAAAAAAGCACCAAAAAGATGAGACTGCAGCTAATAGTTATATATACCACTGTATATTGCAAGTCTTCAATATTTTATTTGAGGCAGTTTATGAAAATGCATCAGTTTGGACTAGACAACATTTTGAAAAATATTAAGCAGGGAAATAGAGACCTGATATGTCATTAGGATATACTAATCAGTTCCCGAAACCATGTAGAGGACACTTTTTATGACAGTGATTTCCAACAGCAGCCTCTTTCTTCACCTAGAAGCTGAAATTGTTTTAGTTGTATTTCCCCTGAATTTTTCTCATGTGTTCAGTACTGCTTTAGCTTGTACCTTCTGCATGTACCCTAACCTAAATCCCTTGTAAGACAATGAAAAACAAAATTGTTCTTTACAGAAGAACAGGTATGTAGAACAAGTGATATGAATTGGAGAGATATCACGATTTATACAGAGATTGAACATTAGAAATAAAAGGTTACCATGTCTAAGCAATATATGACCCCTAATTTGGGGATCTACATTTTATCATATTGAAGAAAAGTAAAACTAAACAAAAATCAAAGAATGAATTGCCTGCAAATATTATTGTGCTGCTTTTCCCTCTGTGAAATAGTTTATGTCAAGCGTATTTAGTATCATACTGTTTCTCTTCCACACAGTGCAGCTTTCAACTCCTCAAATTTTAATGCCATTAATTGTCAAAAATCTTTTAAAAAATACCCATGAGACTCTTCCGAGTATTTATCCTTATTTCCATTGTACATACTTTGTGCAGAAAATGTATCTCCAGAGACCTCTTCTGATTTTGAGCAGTGCATTTCAATCTTTCAATTAAGAAAACATTTAAAGGGATAAAATGTTTGAAAATAGTTCACTACATCATGAAATGATCTGACACTAACAAAGGTCCTAATTAGGTTCTGCTAAACTATAGAAGGAAAGAAAAACCTTTATAAAAAGTCTGTCAAATGACAAACTGTATACCTTATATAAAAGAGAGAACAAAGCTATGCTGCAATAAAACCAAAACCAGAAATTGAACTCGACCCTTAGGTGCAAGCTTATAAATACTGCCTGTATGAGTCAACCCACAGGAAGAAGTTACAGCAGATTTACTTGTGTGTTTGGTTGTTCCTAATAGAGAACAAGTGTTTCGAGAAGCCCAGCAAATTACTGCAGTGTAGTATATGTAGGCTAGCATTATCAGATGGGCAAGAGAAAAGTAGACTTTCCACTCCTGTTTAAGTTCAGTAGGAACTAATCTCAGAGTTCCCTTGGACTTTGAAATTCTTAGTAAAGTCTTTGAGACATGTTTCCATTTAAAAGTTAATATTCATTTAGAAATTCAGTTCACACATGGATAATTGAAATATCACTGTTACTTAGAAGCTCTTGTGTATGTGGCAGAGAACTACCAGTCTTTTATGACAACTTCTGTGTATGTAGTTTCTCACATCGTGTATTTACAAAAGGGAGCAGTGCTCAGAGACCTGGGATTTAGTTTAATCTCCATTTTTTAAGATAAAAAATTACTAAAGACAGGAACAGGAATACTTCTTGCTACACTTATAAACATAGTTAGCAGATATAAAGAAATATTTTATTGATAAACGTCTGAAAACTTTAAAAAAATGAGCATTTTCCTTGAGTTCTTTTTACTTTCATTGTATATGTTCTGGATGAGAATACAAATGTGTTTTTTGAGGATGCAATTAATCCAGCATTCAGTTTAATATTAAATTCTTTACAAAAATAGCTTATACATGATTAATAAATTTTTAAAAAATAACCAGTCATTAAAAGTCCAGCATAATTATGGACTGCTTATAACATCATAATTACTTTGTTATAGAACTGATGCCTGTAACCATCAATAACATTCATCATTTTCAAGTATGCAACACCACTACAAAATCTATTAATCATGCATTAACCTGTTATAATTGGAACTTTTATTTATAGTGTAACCAAATTAAATTTATGGTTTTCACCTCAAGTTATATGTTTTAAATACTGAATATAATCCTTTATAAGGAGTTATCAAGCACTGAGATTTTCTATGTAAGACATCTAAATATTCATATCCTTGGTGTGCAAACATTTCAGTTTAATTATTCTAGTTCTGAATGTTTTTATTCTGCTAACTTACCTAAAATTTAAAATCATGTTTTTAAAAATAATTATATGTACCATTGTTTTCGTAGTTTTTTTTTAAAAAGAAAAGGAAATCTGGGAAAATGTAATTTCTCACAGATAAACGCTCCAAACCTTTAAACATTCAATTTCCCCCTTGTAAATAGTAAAACTATTTGTCAGTATCATCTCCTCTGTTTTACATGAAAACACTCTTTAGCCACTAGATGACTTTTTTTTTGTTAGAAGTCAATGATGTGATACTGGAAATGATTTTGTAAAGAACACTCTGAGGTGGAAGATGTTTGGGTTTGTTCCTCTTGGTGTATGGTTTCACTGGATATTATTTATAAAGACAGACAAGAAACAAAAGCAAAACAAACCAAAAAAACCTCCCTGGGACTGAAATACTTTATATGTGTTGTTATTTGCAGTGCATGCCAAGACATTCATGGGCACCAGAGCCAACCGGGCAAGCTATTTAAGTATATAAATGTATGTGTTTAAAACAGCCTTATAAGGAGCATTGGAAATCTGCAAGATGAGCGAATATCTTATAACTTCTTCCGCAGGTGCGAGGATAGCTACAAGCCATGGACTTTCTGTCCTGCTTCTTGTTTGTGGCTTTGTGAAGGGTGCTTTGCTTTAATCTAAAAGTGCTGACTTTTTCCAATATCACTTTCTCTTCTTAAAGCAAAGAGCAAATCGCCTGTAAAATCTACGGAGCGGACAACAAAGTTGACCCTAACCTCCAACCACCACTCTGCACCCAATGTACTCTAAATCTCTACACAAGGAGCACCTTCTTCAGGAAGTACAAACAAAAATACTACATATATAAAATAAATAAATAAATATTATAAAAAGAAGAGGATACCACGTTTTCTTGATATATTTTATTTCTTTGGCGTATCACGGATCTTTTATTTGAGGATAACTGGTGTGATGTAATCAAATGTTTTGTAACAGCAAGACCTAGTTTCCCTTTCTTTCAGCAAGGAGAAGCCTCATCCTTGACTTCTCAGGGGTTGGCCTGCGAGTCATCAGTATTACAGAATTAACCATGGATGACATTTGGTTTCCTACGCTGAAAGAACCATTCCAGCCTGGAAGCAAACAGAGGCCAAATGTTGAAAAAAACATAGTAATTTAACATCAACTCAAATAAAATACCCTACAAACTTTATCAAAAAGCTTTTTCTTTTTTTTTCTTTTCTTTTTTTGTATGAGGAATAGGGAGGAGAAAAGAAATTCTACAAAGCAGCTAAACAGACTAGAAGACATTTCTTTTTGGGAAACAAGAGAGTATATTTTTCTTTTATTTGCTACCTTTGTTTTTTTTAGGGGCTTTTTTTTGGGTTTGGGGTTTGGTTGGGTTTTTTTTAATTATTTGTTTTCCTCTGGGGTTTTTTTCCCTGTCTTTTTTTGTTTCTTGGTGGCAATGACTGACTTAGGCCAACCCCTGATTATTGTGTGGAGGTTGATATATATGCATCTTTTTTTTTTTTGGGTGTGTGTTATATATTTCAGTGTGTATTCTTTAATTTTGCAACTCCTGTATATGCAAAACGAACTTAAATTCTGTAAATTGCTTACAGTCTGTGTGATATAACTTCAGAGTAGACATACTTTGGTCCTCCTGCAAGCCAGTTTTTAATATTACCTATATGTCGTGCCACCAATAGACATCTATATTTCCTTTTTTTACAAAACATCACTTTTTAGTTTGTAATTCAGTAGTGTGTGGATTTTGTAACACATGCCTTCACTTCCACATATTTGACACCTCTTAGTCCTCTGTTTACTCTGTAAATGCACATTAAAATTTGTTACGGTCTCTAGACAATGAATTATTTTAGTTTTGTGTATGTTGTATTGGAGTTAAAATGCTGAAAGCTCTTTTAATTTGTGATGTTTATAGAGAATGATTTGATCACTAAAGACTGTAAAATGCAGGTTTGCAGTCAAATACTGCATGTAAAGGAAGCTTAGAAAGGGAAAACAGAAATACAAAACAGAACATGGCTTAAAGGATGTTATTTTAGTAAAGAGTTTTAGGACAGTGAATTTATGACACTGATAAATTATATTTGCATCACAACTCCTTCTACATGGCCAAAGAAGTGTCTTTCTTTGCTTTTTCTGGAAGTTGATTGTCATTACTCATTGATATTCTTAATTAAAATACTTTATGTCTATGAACTGAATGTCAGAATTTTGCTGTTGAATGAAGTAATATGCATTACATGAATCACATTCATTAATGCAGGAAGGAAAAATTGCTACCATTTGCAGCTGCAATCAGAAAGGTTTTTTTCTTGTTCCCCTCTTTTCACTTATGCTGAGCAATCCGCACCCTTCCATTTATCAGCACAGACAATCATGTATACCACATGCTTATTATGATCTATTTACAGCAGCATTAAGTAGCTCCAGTGTGGTCAGCTGTGTGATTTCTCCTCATTTTTGAAGTAATTTAGAAGGAAGTAGAAAAGTATGTTTAGTATCTCACCAGTCCATGCCCTACAAGCTTAAGATTTTATTTCAAAATTCGTGTAAGGCTGAAGTCTTCCACCATTCGTTTCAAAGGAGAAAGAACAAATAGTAGCATAGAATCAAAGGGTAACACACTAACACTTTGTAAGAGGGTAACGTATTTATGCAAATCTTATTTCCCTTAACTATATATTCTGTACTATAAGCTTGGCTGGGCATAGTCAGTCTTTCTTTGAGTTTAGAAAAACCTTAGCAGTAATAAAGAGAGTAGAATTTTTGGTCTTATACAGACAAATCAAGAAGAACTGTCAGCAGAAAAAAGAGAAAATTTCTTGTATTTCAACATAAAATTAATGACCCACTAGAAATATTGTGTATTGAAAAGGTTTTGCTACAGAGTAATAACAGTTTATTAGCCTGCGGACAAAGAAAATAGAAACAGTCCCCATTAAAATGTTCTGAATCAAAGCATATATTGTGTATTAAAGAGGAAGTAAATGAAAAAAGAGCCAGAGCTTTTTGAAGTCTCGTTTTCTGAACACACCTATGGTACCAAATTTTCAGAGCTCCAGAAGAAAGGCTATATTTTCTCTGTGAAATATATA